CCTAATTGCTTATAGTCATTTATTGCAAGTAAAGCTATCAGGTGATGTAAACCAAAATATTAGAAATGTGTGTGTGTGTGTGTGTGTGTGTGTTTATATGGAGATAATTTTCACAATTACTTGTTAGAACATAACAAAGATTTGCTACTGCCATCTACTGGTTCTAAACTCCTGAATCTCTGGCAGTTGGTCTGCTGTAAGAAAGAAGAGACGTGGGCTCCATTTTCTTCATTGAGAATCTTTAAAATATTCTTTGTTAGCTGGGCATGGTGGCACACGCCTTTATTCCCAGCACTCGGGAGGTGGAGGCAGGCGGAACTCTGTGAGTTCCAGGCCAGCCTGGTCTACATAGAAAGTTCCAGGCCAGCTGGGGCTACAGGGAGACTGTTTCAAAAAGACAAAATATTTATTTTTACTGTATATTTATGAGTATTTGCTTGCATATATGTTTGCATGTATATGTGGAGGCCCCATGGTGGGTGCTGGGAACTGAACCCCTATCTTCTATAAAAGCAGCAAGTGGTTTTAACTGCTGAGCCATCTCTCCAGCACCATATATAGCTCTCCTTTTTTGAAGTGTGTAAAGCACACTGATTATTTAGGTTTTCATTTTAACAAGTGACTGACAGTGCAATCAGTGTCTAAATTTAGTTAAGGTCAGTTTACCCTTTGGTATCTTAAGCATGTTTGCCCATTAGATGACATAGCATATCTTAGCATTCAGAAGAATGGGGACAACATTCACAATTAGAGATAATTGGTTGAGTATAGACCAGAGTTTTCAGAGGTGATAATGATGTCTTCATGGTATTTTTTTCTAAGTCGTCTTTGCTGTGTGCCTGATAAGAGATAGAATTTGGTGTTGGAGAGATCGCTCGGCAGTATAGAGTATCTGCTGCTCTTGCAGGGGACCCAGGTTAGGTTCCCAGTACCTATGTGGCGGCTAACCCCTTGTCTAAGGAATCTGATGCTCTCTTCTGGCCTCTGGACATTGCACACATGCAGGCAAGACACTCGTAACATAAAATTAAGAAAAAGAGAGAGAGTGCTTGAGTTAACCTCTATGTAAATAAGTACTGGTTACAGTTACTTGTATAATGAAGTTGAAGACTTTATGACTGACTTGTTTTAGTTGTGTGGGTTTATTTTAAAGTGTTTTGTCGCTGAATGCCATACTGTCCAGATTTCATGGTTTATTAAATTTCATTTTATGTCACAGGAGCCCAAGTTCATGGCATACATGTTTAAGTCTCCTTTCATACTTCATTTTCCTCAATATCCTAATGTGAGTGTGTGCTTTTTGAACATTTATTTTTTAGGCTTAATGGGACTGTTTGAAAAACGTCGATTCAGAAAATTCCTAGTGTATGTTGCCAACTTTGATGAGAAAGACCCTAGAACTTTTGAGGGTATCGATCCTCAGAAGACCTCAATGCGAGATGTGTATAAGAAGTTTGATTTGGGCCAAGATGTTATAGATTTCACTGGCCATTCTCTTGCACTTTAGAGAACAGATGAGTAAGTTTTTTTGGCTTTCAGATTTGCATTCTTGAAACGCAACTGAATTTCCCAGCTCTCCAAAGTGAAAATTTTAGCAGAACATCCACATAGCTGTGCTGTCCTGTGAAAGAAGAGGTTCTAGTTGCAAAGTAGTGTTGGAACCTTTTAAGAGAAATAGGAAGATAGCGGATTGAAATCACTTCAGAAAAAGATTTTAAAATTAAGAAAGAAGTAAAATCTTTTCCAACTACTTAGATCAACCATGTTGTGAAACCATTAATAGAATTAAACTTTACAGTGAGTCTTTGGCAAGATACGGCAAAAGCCCTTACCTTTATCCACTCTGTGGCCTTGGAGAACTGCCACAGGGATTTGCAAGGTGAGAGCCTGTGCTTAACCCAGAAGCTGAAGCCCTCTGACCTCAGACTGACTATTGAATGTGGAATGTTTCACTAAATAAATGAGATACTAATTTGTTTATGAGTTTGAGATTTATTTTTATTCTTTTTGAGACAGAGTCTCCCTCTAGCCTCACTCAGCTGGCCTGGAACTCAGAAAGATCTGCCTGCCTCTGCCTCCCGAGTGCTGGGACTAAAGGTGTGTGCCACCATGTCTGACCTGATTTCTTTTATGTATTTATTTATTTTTGGTCTTTTTGAGACAGGGTCTCCCTGTAGCCCCAGCTGGCCTGGA